GGGTCCTGTGGGAGCTCAGAGGTCACACTCAGGACTAGAGAGGCCCAAATTCATTGCACAGTTCAGAGGAGATGGCACCAGACAGGCCCTGGGCTGCCCACCAGCACGGGGGGCTCCAGACAGGAACAACCTTCCGAAGGCAGCTGAGCTTCCTCCCCCTGGGAAGCTGCCTTTCCACAAGGATCCTGGCCCAGGCCCCCTCCAGAGCTGCATTACACAGGGGGAAGGTTTGGAAGAGCTTCTTCCAATGGTTAAAAAGTTACAATCCTTCGTGGTTGATAGAAAAAAAGTCCCAGTTAGAGAAGATTTGAAGTAAAACCAGTAAAAAGCCACCTGATGAGTTTGGAGGGGATGTCTGTGATCCAGACAGGAATCCCTCCCACCAAGCCAGCAGCTCCAGGAACATGGAGCCTCTGGTCCATGAGGGCAGCTGGTCCCACAGCACCAAGTCCTGAATCCTCCAGGAGAACAGACCCCAAAACTGCTGGCACCACACTGAGGAGCTGCCCCAAACCACCTCCTCCTCCTGTCCACCCTCCAGGCTGTTGGGCAGAGTTTTGCCTCCAGAAGGTTGGAAGTGTTTCAGAAAAGTTCAGCAGTCTTTGGAGAAAAAAAAAAAAGAAAGAAAGAAGACTTGGGTGTTTTCCTTTACACTTGGGCAGCTTGGGCAGGTTGGCTTCCCCCAGGGCTTCTCTTATTCTGAGAAAGAAGGGAATATGTTCAACTCTGGGAACTCTTCATTGTTGTAGTTGGGTCCTTGGTCTCCCAGCATTGTCAGCATGTCCTGTAGGGGCACAAGGAGAGAGTTACCACCTGGGCTGCAACATCACCTTGGCAGTTTGGTCATGGAGGAGCTGCTGGTGTCCAGGAGGGTCCATCCCCTCTCAAGGGCACAGGAGGCTCAGGAGCAGAAAACGGAGTCATGAGCAGGGGCTGAGAACAGGGGGCAGCAACTCAGGAAAAACATCAGCCCTCAGGGGTTCTCTTCCCTTCGTGGCATTTGGGGGGTGTTTGGCTTTTTTTGTTACTGCTTTTAATTAGAGCCAGAGGGGTTAATTCAGCTGCAGAGCTGGCAGCTTCACACTGACCCTGCAAAGGACCATGACACAAAGCTGGTCCAGCTGAGGCCTCTCTGCCCTCTCCAACTCCACCACATTCCTCACAAGCTTGAGATCTCATCAGGTATTATGAACTAAGGGGAAAGCTCCATCATGTTGGTCCCCAGGGTGACCACCCCACTCCTCCCTCAGGAGGCTACAAAAGAACCACAGAATCATGGAATGGTTGAGACTGGAAGTGACCTTAAAGACCATCAGGTTCCAAACTCCCCACTATGAGCAGGGACACCTCCCACCAGCCCAGGCTGCTCCATGCCCCATCCAACCTGCCCTTCAACACTGCCAGGGATGGGGCAGCTTCCCTGGGCAACCTGGCCCAGGGTCTCACCACCTTCAGAGTGGAGCATTTCCTTTTAATTATACAGTCATGGGATGGTTTGGGTTGGAAGGACCTTCAAGATCATCTAGATTCAACCCCCCCATGGGCAGGGACACCTCCCAGCAGCCCAGGCTGCTCCAAGCCCCATCCAACCTGCCCTTCAACACTGCCAGGGATGGGGCAGCTTCCCTGGGCAACCTGGCCCAGGGTCTCACCACCTTCAGAGTGGAGCATTTCCTTTTAATTATACAGTCATGGGATGGTTTGGGTTGGAAGGACCTTCAAGATCATCTAGATTCAACCCCCCCATGGGCAGGGACACCTCCCAGCAGCCCAGGCTGCTCCAAGCCCCATCCAACCTGCCCTTCAACACCCCTAGGGATGGGGCAGCCACAGCTTCCCTGGGCCAACCTCTTCCAGAACCCTCCCTACCCTCCCGGGGAGGAATTTCCTCTTAATATCTAAACCATCTTACTGAGAAGACCTCAGGCTGGCTGGGCTGAGGCTGCTGCACGTGCTGCCCCCCCGAGGCCGGGCCGTGGTGCTGTCCCTGCCACTGGGGCCACATCCCCACGGAGCCGCCGTCCGCGCGTGCCGGGAAGGGAGCCGAGCCCTGCGCCGCCTCCGCGCCTGCGGGACACAGCAGGGCAGGGGGGTCACACCAACAGACAGAGCCACCAGGGTCACCACAAGACTTGGGAGGGGCCTGGTGGAGACAAGAGCCACGCAAAAGCTCTGCTGGCTGCAGGAACAGCTTCCACCTCTGCTGTCAGCCAGGGGCAGGTGTTCTCGGGATCTGCAGGGGAACCTGCAGGCAGGAGCCAACGTCTCCTCCCGTGCACTGGGACAAAAACTATCAGCTCTCTTGTCATTAGTTGCATATTTTGCTCAAGATGTGACTCTGAACCCAAAAATCTGGATATTTTTTTTTCCCTCCTCAGCCTGGCTTTGCAGCTGTCCTTGGACCACACCACCTGCACCCACACTTCCACTCAAGGAACCAGCCTGGCTTTCTCAAAACAAACAACAGTTCAGGTCAACACACTGAACCACGATGTTCCCAGCTCTCCCTCCCAGGGGATCTGGTTGTTGTTGTCACCCCCAGCAGCCCCAGGGACACTCACTGAAGGCTGCACCACGGTTGGTGAGATTGGGGTAGGTGGCCCCTGTGGGGGAGGCTGTGGAGCCTGGTGCTGCCATGGGGCTGAAGGACGATGGGGTCCCCTGGAATGTCCCCATGCTGAAGGAAGGGGGACGGGTCTTCACTGTCTGGGATGCCACTTGCTGGAAGAGAGGAAGAAAAAGGTGAGGAAGAGGAGAGATGCACTTACAGAGTCACAGAATCAATGCCAGGGGTTGGAGGGACCCTCTGGAGATCACCCAACCAAACCCCTGCCAGAGCAGGGTCACCTACACTAGATCCCACAGGAACACACCCAGGAGGGTCTGGAATATCCCCAGAGAAGGGGACTCCACAGCCTCTCTGGGCAGCTTGTCCAGGGCTCTGCCACCCTCACAGGCAAGAAGTTCCTCCTCATGGTTAGACAGAACTTCCTACATTCCAGTTTGTGCCCAAGACCTGTCATCTTGTCACTGGGACCACTGGAAAGCCTGGCCCCCCCTGCTGCCACCCACTGTGAGCATTGGTAAGATCCCCCTCAGTCTTCTCTTCTCCAGACTAAAACAACCCAAGCCCCTCAGCCTTTCCTCATGGTCTAGTCCCCACACCATCTCCTTTGCTGTCCCCTCCCCAGCAGTTCCCTGTCCTGGGAGAGCCCAGACCTGGACACAGAGCTCCAGCCACGGCCCCCAGAGGAGGTTTATCCTGACCCTGGTCCCAGCTGGGGTGAGAACACATTGGGACTGGCCCCAGCACACCCAGCTGGGGCAGGGCAGGCTGAGGGGAGCCAGGTGTCCCTACCTGTGGGGTGAAGGGGGGCCGTGTCCCCGGGCCCCAGCCGGTCCCGCCGGGCTGCGCGGGGCTGGAGTGGCGGGAGATCTGGGGCAGGATGCGGCCGGAGGGCGCGGGCGGCTGCGGGATCAGGCTGACGGGAGGCACCAGGCTGCTGCTCCTGGGAGCACGGAGAAGCACAGAACCAGGGAGGGGCTTTGGGTTGGAGGAACCTTCAAGATCATCCTGTCCCACCCCCTGCATGGGCAGGGGCACCTCCCACCAGCCCAGGCTGCTCCAAACCCCAAGTCAGATCCTTTTACACCTCCAGGGATGGAGCAGCCACCTTGAAGACCATTTAATGGATCATCTGGGTGATCTTTAAGGTCCCTTCCAACCCAAACCATTCCATGATCTAAACACCATCCAGTCCCACCCCCCCATGGGCAGGGACACCTCCCACCAGCCCAGGTTGCTCCAAGCCCCATGCAACCTGCCCTTCACTGCCAGGGATGGGACAGCCACAGCTTCCCTGGGCAACCTGTTCCACAGGAGAGGACCAACTGCAGGACAGGACAAAATGGCCATGAGGCCTCTCCAGGCACAGGAAACCTCACCTGAAGTTCTCAGCAGGTCGGGATGGGGTGAAAGTGTTTCCCTGGGTGAAGAGGGGCTGGTTGGCAGGCACGGTGCTGGCAGGGAGGGCCTTGCTCTGCTCTGTGGAGAGAGAAGCAGCCACCTTAGGGCTCAGGGAGTCTCAGCAGCAACAGGGACAGAGAACCAGTAGCACGAGATGTGCCCGTAGGAAGGAAGACTGAGCATCACACATGACTGTTCCTTGTCCAGACACAGACCCCAGGCAGTTGAGTAAAAACCTGTTTAATCTGATTTCCTCTCCATTTGCTAATAAACTTTACATTAAGGTCCTGTGGGGCTGGAGCATTCACTGCATCCTGTGCCCAGACTAGGAGCAGGGCTGCTCTCTGGGGACAAGCAGGATCAGACCAAGAGACCCCTCCCTCCTCACACCTCCCCAGAACAACATCAGCTGCAGGACAACCCACTGCCACAACAGTGTGGCAGGGATTACCCACCCAGGGTCAAAACCAGCCCAATTCTGGGCTTCCCAACACTGACATTGAGCCCCTGTGCCCAGAACTGCTCCGGGAACACAGGGAAGAGGAAAGAACACTGGGATGAGATGGGACACAAGGTCCCCCAGCCCAGCCCAGATTTCCCTACCTGTGCTGATCCCACTGTAGATCTCGCTGAACCTGGGGTCCCTCTCCTGGCTGAACAGGCTCTCTGCCTTCTCCAGGGGTTTGCTGTGCTCCGGCCCCGCGGCGCTCACCGCCTGGACGGGAACCTGGAGGCAGCAAGAGGGGTCAGTGCCTCGGGCAGAGGGAGGCTGGTGGTCCCTGGGGCAGCTCAGCTCCACGGGTTCTGGCATGTCCCATGAGAACAAGCAGGGCTGGCAGCAGGGACACAGGGGAAGGATGTCACAGGGGCAGGTGGGAATCGAGCAAGGAGATCCAGCACAGCCCCAGGCAGGAGGACACACCTTCCTCTCCCAACTCTCTGCAGCCTCCAGCCCATCTGCTGTGGCCACCTCCACAGCCTCAGCAAGAGGGGACTTCAATAGTGCAGGAGGACAAACACTGGGTGGAACCTGTGGATTTACCTGTGAGTGGTCATACCCAGCCAGGCTCTCTCTTCCTGGGACCACTTCCAGCTCTGCCTGTTGTGGTGGCTGCTGCTGCCTGAAATAGAAAGTCTCTGTAACAGGAGAAGAGGGGCTGCTAAAAACCATCACCGGGGGAACAGACACTGTGGTCACATCGGTTTATTCACTAGCCCAGAGGAGCTCCCTGATGCAGAGAGGAAAGGCTGGGGAGGAAGGCTGCTTGAGAGGAGGGCAGAGCCAGCAAGGGAGGCAGGGAGAGAGGAGCTGAGCACCTCCTGACCTTGAGGGCAGTGGTGCTGTGCCCATTTCCAGGGGCAGCCCGACGTTCTGCCCCAGCTGGGGCCTCTGCAGGGAGTTGGACAGGGCAGGCCGGGACTCCTGGCTCGAGTTCCTTCACAGCAAAGAAAGAAAGAAAAATATTAAAAAAAAATAAACCCCAGGAAAGCAAAGAGCTGCTGATGTGCCCCAGCCACGGCTGGGAGCTTGGCTTCTGCAAAACCTTCTGGGGTGAAGGATCCTTCCACTGTTTCCATGGTCTCTGGGAGGGGGTGTCATGTCATTCACAGCCACGAGCCCAAGGGCTCTGTCCCCCCACACTGAGCAGGGCAGCAATGAATCACTCCCCAGGAGCACCAGCCCTGCAGACCCTCAGAGCTCCAGTTAAGGCTGCAGGAGCCTAAAAACCCCCCAAGTTTTCCAGTCAGACACTCCAGAGCTGGAGCCTGCAGGGACCACCAGCAGCTTTAGGTTTCAAGCCCCAGATGTTGGTGGAGCTGGTCATGCCCTTGGTCACTGCCAGAGGTCGGTGAATGTTTAACTCCTACAAGAAAGGAATAAAAATCCATTTTCTCAGCAATTCTTTCCCAAGCTGCTGCTCCAAGAGCACCTGAGCTTGAAGATGAAACCACTCAAAAAACCCTGCCAAGAAGCATGTGGGTAAAATGCACCTGAGACCCCAGCAGACACAGCTGCTGCTGCTCTGGCCCCAGCTCATGCTGTGCTTTCGGAAGCGCAGGATGGATGCGAGGATGGATGGGGTGGGATGGATGAGCTCAGGGATGTCTCTACCACTGGGACAGGAGCCCAGGCCTGGATCAGACCTGCATCTGCTCACACGCAGCTCTTTAAAGCCAGAGGAACTTGCACTGCTCACCTCTTGACACCTCCTCAG